AATAAAAATAAAAATAATTGATGATGATGATGATGATGCCTGAGAGCCAATATGGTGTGGGTAAATCTAGATTCAAATCTGTTTGACCATGGAAATATTTAAGTGCAATAATTTTAAGCGTGAAAGTTACTGCTAATTTCCAAGTGCATTTGGATTTGTGGCACCCTTCTCCAGAGTTTTCAAGAAGTAGAGTACTTAGAAGTGATTTACTATTTCTTTCTTCTGGATGCCTCCTGGGACTGTGCAGCTTGCTCAAACCTGCACCCACCCCTTAAATATCTCACATGCCTCGAAGCCATGTTTAAGTCATTGTAAGTCCAAGGGGCCTTGATGGCACTTAGCAACAATGTTGCCTATCTGGAACAGTGAGATCAGATATAGACAATGTGTAGCCTGCACAATTAACTTGTAAACCACCCAGAGAGTGCTTTAAGCGCTATGGGGTGGTATATTACCAGCACACTTTGCTTTTTAAGGACAGATTAAATCCTTCCTTTTGGCAGATGTAGTGGCCACCTGTCAAGGGGACAACTAGAAAAATTAATGTGTAACTGTGATTCCCACTGTACCTCCTTGACAGGGACTGAGCTGATGATCTATAGGATCCCTTCCAGCTGTGCTGTTCTAAGATGATTTCCAAGATAAGAAAACTCCTTATGTAGTTAAAACTTAATATTTATACAGTAATGCAAAAATGCCTCACCAAAGGAGAAACCTAAATGATTTTTATGGTGAATGCTTACATCTGAGTCAGAATCAACACTGGAGTTATTCAAGGAGACTCCAGGCCCCATCTTGGGCGTTCCCTTGAGTTGCTCTGCCCCCATACTTTGTTAATTGTAATGTGAAGAAAAATCTGATTTCAAACCCTCAAGGTCTCCTGGTCAAGAAGTATCTATTGTTTCTTAACTCTCTCCAGTAGCCACTTGGGTAAATGATAGTGATACTGGTACAGTTTTGGTTTTGTTCAGGGTTGTTTTCCCCACCACTGCTTTAGCCTTTTGGTGTTTGTTTTGAAATATATTTTTCTGTTTATTGAATTGTATGTAAACAATCTTTCTGTAACATTAATACATTTGTTAACAAAGAAATTTTCTTTTCCCTTAGTGGCTCCAATGAGGAGTGGGAGGGAAGCAATTAATTTGGTTGTGGTTATTCTTGGCCACTTTTCTATACATAATTTTAAGTCTTTCATTTCACTGCAAGGGAAATATATTGCAGAACAATAACCCAATGTACTTCTTAAATGATCCCATAATTCTTAATAGCATCCTACAAGGCAGATTTGTTTTGCTATTTCCCATATTGTCTAGGAAGATTCTGAGGGAGGCCACATATAGCATGGAGATGTTTACTCATTGTTAAGTGCTTCTTTAAGTGCTATGTTCTCTCCTCCTCCTGAGGACTACAGCCTCAGTTGCTTAATTAAATGACTAGCTCAACTGTCACTGCAAAGACAAAGGAATGGGAAACACCTCTGGATCTAGTCTGATGTTCACAAATTGCTATATTTTTTGAAATTGTTGTGTAGTCCTATAGAGAGTAATATTTTTCAGAAGTGAAATAATTCCTTCTTGTATGAATGTTAGGAAGGAATAAATAATACTGGAAATTTCAGCAAGGGAAGAAAGAAAACAAAGTGCTATTGCTTCATATTTGAGATTTGTTTCCTTCAACATTGTCTTAGTGAAGAACATGTGTTGTACATGCTTGACCTTCTCTGCTTAACTGTTATACTTGAACAGCTGGTTAAATGCTGCTTTTCCTAAGAAATATTCCTCTAAGAAACAGTTTCCTACGAAGTATGTAACAATCTTGTGTGTGGTCTACTCAGAGATAAGACCAACTGATTTCAGTGCAGCTTACTCTTAGGCAAGAGTGTACAGGATTACAGCCTTAATTTTCGAATCTGGTTGCTATGAATAAACCAACTCTGACAGTGGCTCTCCTTTTATGCCATTACACCATCAGAGTCTGTGGAGGGCTATAAATGTGAGCGGTGTGGGAAGGTGTTCGCCTACAAATACTACCAGGATAAACATCTGAAGTACACACGCTGTGTGGACAAAGGGGACAGGAAATTCCCATGTCAACTTTGCAGTCGATCGTTTGAGAAAAGAGACCGCCTGAGGATTCACGTTCTCCATGTCCATGAGAAGCACAGGCCACATAAAGTAAGCACAGTAACACTGTATTGTCCATCTTTCCTGCAATTAATTCTTCTGATTTTATTAGGTAACTAACTAACTGACTGATTGTAGGTGTCTCCCAGAATTAGAGAAGCCCACTCTGCTCTTCACTAGCAAGAAAAGTGTGCTTTTGAGCATGGAGGGTCATTTTCACCCCTAAGTACACTTTTGAATAATGAGAACAACCCAGTGGGACTTGCAGAGGGTGTAATTTGGGTTAATAAGCACCACATCTCATAAAGACTTGACGCAGATGGTGCAATTAGCCTTGAATGGAGAAGACTGGGCCAGAGAGATGCTGAATCAGTATCTGTTTTCACACTTGTGAAGGGTCTGTGGTCCTTTTCAATCCCCAAATTAAGATCCTTTGAAGACCAAGATTAAAAATTCTTCGCAAGACTTCAAGCTCATCCTCAAATAAGCCTCATTCATTTGTGGATATTGTGGTATTTAAAAATGCAATAAGGTGGTGTGCTATTGTCGTGTGCTTCTCCTGCACTACATGCATGTGTGATTAAGGCAGGAGGGTTAATGTTGTCTGTTTATAATTTTCTTTTGAGCTTCCTAGAGTACCACCTTTAGGAGAAATGGAGAATATAAAATCAAACAAAGGAGTAAATCATGTGCTATTTAATGTAGATACTACGACAGCAATAGTAAAGTAGTGACACCTATGTTTAATTAACCAGATAATATTCAGGAAAATAATATACGATATAAATGTTGTAGCCACCAGTTCTAAATGCAGGCCAACTGAAGGATCACATTCAATGTATGACAAAGTTCATGGATACTTATGGTATCTGCGAAGTCTTTTTTAAAGTATGATTATAGTGAGAAAGAAAAAAGGCTAGATTTATTTTTGAGCCAAAGGTGTTATATTTTTAAAGAATATTTTTTCCAAGAAATCTGTTCCTACAATACTTTGATTAATTCTGTTCTACTATAATCATTGTAAAATGGTTCCCCCCCCCAATAATTAAAATACCTTAAAACAATGCCTAGTGGCCTTTTATATGACTATTCTTAACAAGATTGTATCTAAAATGATTATAATAATTATTATTTTATAATTTGTAAACTTTATATTTGCATTTTTCTTTTAACTTACATATTTTTGGAATTTTCATGTCTGCTTCTATGGGTAAGAAAAGCCATAGCTTTTCCTAGATATTTAGGAATAATTTTAATTTTAATAAAACTACAGTGTTAATCCCAGCTTAAAAAAAATACACTCTTTGTAGCGAATTTTGAATGGACAGATTTTTTTTGTGCCAGCACAACTGCTCTTGTGCCATCTGATTTCAGATCTCCTGGGACAACTGCTGTCAAAATCTGCTGGCAGAAAAGCCAAAGACGGGCAGGTTCTTGAGGAGAGCAAAGGAATTCTGCCAGATTCCCACTCCTCAGTCCTGATTGAGCACCCCTATTCTGACACACCTTTAGGCCAAGGATGGGATAATTCTAACTAATTTCCAACACCTCAATGCTGGGAGGGGTTTGGATTCAGCATAGTGTCATCTGACTTAGTACCAGCACAGCCAGCCTTCAGTCATCTTTGCCAGTTAGGAGTTCACCCCTGAGAAGAAGGTATTATTGAACTAGTGCGACTTGTCACTAGGTAGACATGAAGAGGACTGCATTATATTTGTGCCTACTGCCCAACTCAATCCAACAAGTGTAGAGCAATTTATAATACTTTAGCTTTCTTCTTACTGGGGCTGAATCAATCTGCTCTCTCAATCTACTCTCTAGGGACTCCTTTCCATCCCTTCCAAACCTGAACCTGATCCTTTTGGCATTTTTTTTATTGCTTCCTTGTTTTTAACAGTTTTCTCAGCTAGTGTAATCTTCAACCCTTCCCAAGCATGTGGCTTGAATTCAGGTGTTCCCAGGTTCAGTCCTCATCATCTCTCAAGTAGGGTTGGAAAAAGCTTCAACCTGAAACTTAGAGAGCCACTTCCATTCTTCAGAACACTGGGCTAGATTGACCAATTGTCTCGGTTTAAGGCAGTTTCCTAATGGGGGACATATAAAAGCTTATTTCCTCTCAATTGCCATATTTTCTGTTAGCCTTTTAGAGGTGAGACTAGGAAGAAGAGAAAATAGATTTTGGAGAAGGGAAAATTCAATAGAACAAGGTTAACAGTTTTTCAAGTATCACTGAGACCCATATTCAGTTGCACTGTCAGCTAAACTGCTAACACTTTCCTGCTAATTTCCTACCACTGCCACCTCCTCCTTGTTTGAAACACGGATAAGTTCTCCATTTCTATCATCTACAGAATTTGCTTTTTAAAAAAATAAAGCAACTATATCTAGTAGTCACTGTTAAATGCACATGGATCTTAAACATTATGATACATTTCTACAAATCCTATCCCATCTATAGAATCTGTATTTGTTTTCCTGTCTCATTTCAGTGTGGTATATGTGGTAAAAGCTTCTCTCAGTCCTCCAGTCTAAACAAGCACATGAGAGTACATTCCGGGGAGCGGCCGTATAAATGTGTTTACTGCAACAAGGTGAGAAAAATCATGTAAATTATTTTTCAGTTGAGTTGTGTGGGTGATTTGATCAGATCAGTGAAGGGAGGGAGGACTTAATGTTTCCCCAATTAAAATGGCACTCTCAACAACATCCCATAGTTGCAGAAGATATTTCATATGTCTCTCATGTTGCATCATGCTTGACGCGTATTTATATAATCTGGGCTGTAATCTTAGACACATTTACTTATTTAGAAGTAAATCATCTAAGATCAAGGGGACTTTGTCAGTGTAAACCTATCTAGAATAGGCTACATGAGAGGCATACTCTTATATCTGTATAGGTGTTTAAACTTGAAGTTCAATAGTTGATCTTGGAAACCCCCCTCCCCCCCAAATTGAATTAGTATCTAGTCATGTTGGACATGAATCATCTTGCCATTCTCATAACAGTTCTGTCCTGCAGATTTCTGTCATGGTAAGAGCCAGCAAAATACTGTTTTTTGCAGTAGTAAAATCTTAGGTTTCTTGGCTGTGATCGTTTTCTGTGAAGATTTATATTGCATGAAAAAGTTCATTTTTAGCTTTAAAATGACTTGTACATTTCTGAATGCTACTTGTGACAACCAAAACTCACAATTTATCAGGAGAGACAGGTAAAGAAACAGGGTAATAATTAAGCTGCAGCTAATTTTTCTATCCTCTGGAGCAGTGGTTCTGAAACTGGACTCCCCAAATGTTCTTGGACTGCAATTTCCAGAAGCCTTCACCACTTGCTGTGCTGGCCAGGATTTCTGGGAACTGCAATCCAAGAACATCTGGTTTACCCAAGGTTGGGAGAACCACTGTTCTATAATTTCCTGAAGGGACTTAAAACAAGAAGAATTACGTACTTGACCCTAACTACTTTCTTATTTCTCTTCTCCCCTACTCACTATCTGCACAGGCATTTACTGCCTCCAGCATCCTGCGTACTCACATCCGACAACATTCAGGAGAGAAGCCCTTCAAATGTAAACATTGTGGCAAAGCATTTGCTTCCCATGCTGCTCATGACAGTCATGTCCGCCGCACACACTGTGTTAAAGATAAAGGCCGCAACTGTACCTTGTGTGGCAAAGTATTTCTAGAGCAAGAAGATTTGTGCTTCCACATGAAGTTCCATGCAGCTTTGTAGACAGCAAACTAATGGTTACATCCTTAACAACTCTCTTGTCATTTTATGGCATTATAATTTTACAAAGATTTTAAAGTAGTGCTGACTGTCTAATCACCTTGAGATTCTCAGGGTACTGACTCTTATCAGAAGAAGTTGGCAAAGGACTGTAGACCAGTTCTGAGACATGAAAGACTTTGTCCTGAGTACACCAAAATAAAAATGTAACTCTTGGCACTAATCTCTCCAATGACAATACATGGTCTTTGGCATCAGGTGTTCATGACTACTTCAGGAGAAAATGCCACCCAAGGGACGGAATAGCATGGTAGGTGCTGTGGGAGACTTCTTAAGGAGGAGAACTAAGCAGAAATCACAGACACCCTGCTAGCGATAGCATCTGCTGGCTCTTTGTCTCTTCCATAAAGAGAAACAATCTGTTCGTGATTAGAAGAGTGTCTGGAACCAAGTGTTTTATGTTCTATATTTGGAGCTGGTTTCCACAAATTTTTGATTTTATGGTCATTGTTATTAATGCTGCTTTAAGATAAATGAAGACTACAAGCCATTACCACCCCTCATATTCTGTTTTACGCAGTTAATGTGAAAGCAGCTGTAAAATAAACTTGTACTGTATGTATACTACAAGCCATTACCACCCCTCATATTCTCAGTTTTACGCAGTTAATGTGAAAGCATGAGAGAAATGATCCTCTAAAACTGAAGAACTCTTTTGAGCAAACATGGAATTAAAAAAAAATCAGTTTTAGGGTTCCCTAAGTGCAAATTCCAAAGGAAAAAAACACTCCCAAAATAATTGGTATGTGTTTGTGCATCTCCCTTATCTGCTTATGTACATTATCTATGTGTGGCTTTGAATGAACAGAATCCTATAACAAATAAACTCCCAGTTTACTCATTGAATGCCTGTCATGCTCTAATGATTTTTATTAGTCCTTTATGTATGTGCCCATGCACAGAGTTCAATACTGAAGAACCTGTCCCTCCTTAAGGACTAAGAAATTGACATTAAAAATTGTAAAGTTTTTCTGTACTACCTTTCTCTAACTGTGACTGTGTACAAAACAATCACACACAAAACAAATATTTAAACCTGAAACTTTAAAAGGTGTGTCTTGCCCAAGCCTGATACTGAACACAGACTGGGGATCAATTGCAGCTGCAGAATAGGAATGAGTCTCAGAAAGACACATGAAAGATTTGGCCTTCAGGGGGGTGTTCCAACAACTAGCTTTTGTAGATTCCAATGCCCTGCCTCTAGCAAGGCTTTAGATCAGTGCTTCCCAACCTTGATCCCCAGATGTTCTTCAACTGAAACTCAGCAGAAGCCTTCACTACTAGCAGTGCTGGCCAGGATTGCTGGGAGCTGTAGTCCAAGAACATCTGGGGACACAGGGTTGGGAATCACTGCTTTAGGATATGCACTTAGACGACATGGGAATATAGTGAGGCCTCATGTAGAAAATGGCAGTGGCCTTGGAAATTAACAAAAGCATCTTGGCAATTTATGGGACAGTTAACAAATGCTTATCCAGCATGATCCTAGGTAAAAGTTCATGCTTATGACACCTTAAGGCAAAGAAAAACTGAGCAGCAGGTGGGGCCTGGTGGAGTGGTCATCAGCTTGCCTGCTGTGCTAACTATGCTCCCTCCAGCTTTTGGGGGAATAGCAGATGTATCTGGTCCTAGCCAGCCACCTGTATCACCTGTCTCCTCCCACCTGCCCCTTCATTTACTCTGCCTTGGCCAGTTCATGCACTTGTTCATTAATCTTGTTCTTTGTCAGAGGGGGCTTGGCTGGCTAAACTGTTTGCACTAACCACAGAACTTCACTGACTTACCTGGTCAGTATGCTAACCATCTTCTGAGGCTGAATAGCATCATGGCTACCTTTGTCTTTAAATGCAGCAGCTTTAAACAATGATGTATTATATCCAAACCAATCACCAAGGTTTTTCAGTCAATAAATACTTTTCCCATTTATTCCACTTTGAATGATCAGCCATGATCATTCATGGCTGATCATTCAAGATGGAATAAATAGTCTTTATCCTGTGATTCTCCTTATGTGGCTGCAGTATTCTAGCTTATTGCATTTTATCTATTTTGGGGTTTCTTGGCAAAATGTGAGTAGATAAAAAGGTACTACCATGGTGAGAATACCTAGCACCATACTAAGTGTAATGTGTACAGTCCACTGCCCATTTAAAATGTCTACCCACCCACTGTTATATGCAAGCAGGAGCATATGGGTAGGAATATTTCCTCCCAAATTACATTTATAACTCACTTTTTCTCAACGTACTGAGAAGTGGAGTACAAAATGTTACACTAAAAACATGGGAGACTCAAGGGATGAACGTCTTAAGTTAGAGCGTTAATAAGAATGCATGCTAGCAGGGAGCAGAGCCACCCTGTACTCCACATGCACCATTCACATACCTATAAGCAGACACTTGTGTTTCTCATACACACAAGTTATTTATTTATTTATTTTAGCCTTTTTATACTGCCATCTGGTTGCCAGGGCCACTCTGGGTAGTACACAACTCTAAAACAAACACTAATATAAAAACAATTAACATACTAACAATCAAAAGTCAAAATTAAACATCACATGAACAGAAACAAGCTGCATAACTAAAAACTAGAAATAAATAAGATAATTTAAGGGCAAGGTGGAGGAACAAATAGTATAAAATGCTAAAACAACCTCTGCGTTACAATTTTCATACATAACATACTCTTCAGCCCAAGTATTTGTGCTCACAAAACATACACAACCTATCAACACAGAACATTATGAGGTATCCAATCTTACCCCTATCCCCAACAACACAGGCTAAATCTTTACCCATCCAACACAGGAAAGTCTTCCACTGAAGCTCCTTTCCCCCATGACACAATTTTGACTTTTCCCTGTAGTTACGGGTCTTCAAAAAGCCTTCTATTCATTTTTCCAAGCTTCCTTACCATACAGAAGTAAGTTGGCATGGGGGTGCCACAGCATGTGGAAAGGGCAATATTAATACTGCTATAGTCTGTGACCTACCAACAATTCATTCTGACTGGAAGGAGCATAGGATGCAGATCTTGTAGCTTTAATGGACTCCTTCATGGAAAAAATAAGGGACACAGAATGTAGCTCAAACATCTACCATAAAATGTAGTATGTTGGTTTCGTAAGCAAGCATCACTATAAGAATCTGGCTGGATAGCTCAGTGGTTTAGCTCTCTGGCTGCGGAGTCAAAGCTTGGGAGTTTGATTCTTCTATGTGCCTCCAGGGGAAGAGCCAGCCTGTGTAGCCATAGGCAGGCTGCACAGTCAGAAGAAGGGAATGGTAAACCATTTATGAGTATTATCTATCTAGAAATTCCTGGGAAAGGCTTGCGTGACTTTAATCTACCACTGGAAGTCAAACACTTGGACTTAACTCTATTCCTTGAAAGCGACGTCTTCGTTATTGTTTGATTAAACCTTTGTAAAGAAATGTATCTATAAAATTCTCAATATGCATGTTTAGATGTACATACACATATATGTGCAACAGTGTACCATCCAAATCATCCAGGACAGACTACTGTAGCATGTTGCCTTGGGTCACTTTTGTAGACAGTTTGGAAACTACATTTCCCCAGGTTATTTGGTGTGCTCAAGTGCAATGTCAAGTCAAACATTAATGTTCAGATAATTTTCAGATACCCTATAATGACTCTTACAACAGGCAGGAGTGGTTAAGGAAACCACAGACCTCCAACTTTGTTTGCTACGATGACCAGATCTGGGAATATTGTCAAGCTAGGTACAATTTATAGTTAGGAGGACCACTGCCAATCCAATTTGACAGAACTGGATGAGACGGACCAGTGATCTGACTCCTTATAAAGCATCTTCCTACATTTTTACGTAAACCCAGATAGAAAGTCTGTTTTCTGTTTGGAGCATGAAGAATTAGGCAACCCACATGCCTTGTAATTCCATTCAAGTGTTGCCATTATTTTTCATTTTCGCTTGTTACTTTTATTCTGCTGCTTCCCTTACTGTCTGTATTGTATTTTTCCTTGTGAAGCACACTGAGAGCACTTCTCTAAAGTTAAGAGATACAAAATTAAAAGAAAGACAGAAAGAAAAACAAAGAAGAGACTCTCCATGAAGTAAGCAAGCCTGACATGGTTTGTATGTAATTAAACAACTTTCAAAAATGTCTTAAGAACACAAGGTATGTTTGACAAGCTACCCACAGACCATAATAACATTTTATGTTTTATGCACTTATCTGGCAGTTGAAAGGCTAACAATATCAATTAATCAGTGTATGAGATTTGTGGACTGTAGTCCTTTTCATCCAATTCATGAAGTGTTATCCAGAAATTTTGCCATATATGTACAGTTTTAGAGACATACAAAAAAACACAATTGACACATCTCACTGAGCACATGCAGTATTTATACCAGAGCAAAGTTGGTCTCAAAATGCATTCTTTCCTCTTTTTATGTTTAAAATTCTGCTTTCTAGAGTGAAGAGATCTCTAAAGATTGGATGTTTACATTATACAGGACTGTTAACTGAGGCATATGTACTTTTTCTGTTGAAATCGGCTTGTGAATTAGGCTAGCCACAGCCAGCTCAGATGGAAAAGAAATCCATGTGCTCTTTGTCACTACCTATGAATGTTTGTACTCAGAAGAGATGAGTGTGCATATGCGTGTATTGACTTTTGAATAGGATTGATCACAGTAGGCTACCATAAATTGCAAAATTAGAAAGTGACTTTTAGGAAACGGGCATTTGTTAGAGGCAGAATGCGCATGATGAAAAGAATTATGCATTCTAGAGATTCCATTTCCTTAAGCATTTTCAGCAGAGGCTTAGAATCTCTATACTAGAATGCTTCTTCTGCTGGTAATGTCAGTTTACAATTACTATTTAATTTAGCAGCATTTGGAGTTGTGCCATTCTTCTTCTTTTTGCACATTCAGTGTTCTTACTCCAGAAATGCATTTTAGATCTTTACAGATGTCCTAAGAATGTATGTTCAGCTTCATATAATTTGTGTCATCAACTTTGTTGGAAATATACTAAAAAAGTGCTCCCCCACCTTATCCTCCACAGGATGCTTCACATCAGTCCCTCGGTTAGAAGATACTTTCCTTCACCTACTGCCATATACTCTCCCTTAGTGTGGATTTGATGTACATGTCATTGTCACCTGACTTCTTTACTGACAGTGCAATCCTATTTATGTTTACTGAGAAGTCAGTTATACTGTGCCCTGTGGGAACTTGCACCCAGAGAAATTTGCAGAGGATTGTAGTCTTACACTAGAAGCCAATACATAGCTGCTCATATCTATGGAAAAGCAATGTTCTGTCCTTCACTGGATTCCCAAGTAAGGGCTAGAAATGGGTATGAACCGCTTTGTCCCAGTTCATAAAGGCTGATCCCCTCCTCTGCCTCCTCAGCCAATCAGCCATGCATCAGGTGCAGCTTGCTTGCTTTTTCTACCTCCCTAGCTAATCTCCCAGTCACAAGCAAGAGCACAGACTTCTCTGCCCCACCCTTTTGTATGAGTAGATCACCCAAGAGGATGGGGCAGATAAACCTGAGCTGTCG